TCAAGCATCATCATTGGTGTATCTGATTTTTCGTCCTGTCAAAGCAGATGAGAGCAAAAATAAAAATAAAAATTACATATGAAAAGTAAGAAATTGGAAATCAACAAGAAGAGCTGAAAGCTGTCATAAATAGTCTTTATAAAAACAAATACCTCATAAAGAGCCAGTATTTTTTCAGATGGCATCTCATTAGAACTCAAAATGTCAACGCTGAAAGATTTTTTATTTTTTAAATTTTATAGTAAAACAATATTAATTTGTCTGTTATTTTATGTTTCTATCAATTGCAATACTTTCAGAGTGTATTTTTATGTTGGCAATTGTTTCTGAAATATGTTTTATGTTTATATTAATAACAATGCTATCATTGCATGTTTTTACAGGGAGGTTGTTTTTGACTGACTGTAATACCTTCAAAGTATATTGTTACATTGACAATTGTTTGTCACACATATGCACTGGATCCATTCACCTAAAATTTTATTTCACTGTAAAAAAAAAAAAAAAAAAAAAAAATGAAATGTCTCATTCCAAATCAGTACACAACTTGAAAAAGCAAATTATGAAAAAAATCATTAATTTTACTGAGAGTTAATTTTTACATGATTTCATTTACTTTCTGTGATGAGGTATTAAAACTACAGCATTGACATTGTTTCAGACTGTTGCTTTCATCTTTATTGACATATATTACCTGAAGAAAGCCAGAATGTACAGCAACTGAAACATTGTTAATATGGCAATAAAGATAAGGACGACAACAGTCCAAACAATGTAAATAGTGTAAATTCATTTAACTTGTTATATACATTTTTCTTGCTTCTATAAATCGTTTGCAGGTTTAAAATGACTCTGCTAATTTATGTCAAGGACTTTGAAATAGCAATTGATTTTTTTTTTTAGTTTCTGTATTGATACAGAGTAGATTCTTAAGAATTATACATTAGCTAAAATGTCAATAACTTTTTGCTGCAGAACAACGGGTTTTTACAAACAGTATGGAGAGATATTTCCTGTAATTTGGAAAAGAATTATCATTCCAAAAGTTGTTTAAATTTCGATTGTTATTTTGTTGCCAAATCTTTCAGATGATTCTTTTTACATCTTTCTTCAAGTATACATTCCATATGAAAGAAATATCTTCTGTAATTCTGAGTCTTTAGCATTTTATCAGTTGTCAGAATTCTTGATCCTATTTATTTTGGGGGAGGGGGGAATGCTCTTAACAAGTATGTATGTAGGTAGGTAGGTAGGTAGGTACCTCCATTAAATTGGTATATGTTAGCTTTAAAATTAATTTTTAAAAATGAAAAAGCTTTCATTTTAGCTTTAATTGAAAGCTAAAGGATTTAAAATTTACTATTTCCAGTAAGCAAAATACTCTGTGGTGTATTTCAGACAGAAGCAATACTGAATGGAATTGAGTTTTTTATTCAATAATATCAATCAAAACAGCCCTTTTTAACACATTTGTAAACAAAAGTTAATTCTCAGTTGAAAAATTTTGCAATTTCTGAAACATTATTTGAGGAGAATTAGCAAAAATTAATCTGATTTGAAACAAATATTACTTATAGCATAAAATGTTGTATACAAAAATTTCTTAACTACAGGGTCTTGTTTTCTGATGTGTTAATCAATTTATTGACAGCCGAATGTGTTCATAGTTAAGCATGGTGGAGAAGACAAAGTTAATGTGAGGGGGATTTTTTCACCTTAAGTGGGGACAACTCTTAAAACATGTGACCTTTAAATGATAGATTTATCAGTTTGTACGTTCATACTTCAGAAATTCTGCATGTAATAACACATACAAAAACAAATCAAAATTCTTTTAAAAATATTTGGGGTCATCAGATTGTAATAAGCTTTACAATATAAAATTAGTAAAATGGTTTTACTTAATAACAATATTTCCTAAGAATGATCACAGTGAAATGAATTTTAAAAGACTTGAAAACTTTATAAATTATTCAACTCAAAACTGTAAAACAATGAAAACAAATCTTGTAAAAATTCATTTTTCATTGAAAAATTTTTTCATCTTCAGACAATATTGTCTTTAATATATATTATTCATAAAAGCAATTAAAAGCCCCTCTAATTAAATAACGTCTTAATTTTATTGCGTTTATTTTTCGATTCAGGCCTGATTTTGAAAAAGAAATTTGGTCATTTAAATTCTTCAAAGAATTCTATTTTTAATCACTAAAAAATTATCACAAATTTCTCAAGTTTTCATAAAATTAAATAAGGAGATGAAACACATGTAAAAAAAATATTTTTACCAAGATTTTCTAATAAAAAATTTCATTCCTATGTGAATAAATCCTGAAAATTTCATTAAAATCCAACAATTATTTGATTTTTGCAAGAATTTCCAAATTAATGCTAAAATTTGCTATATTAAATGTTACAACCACTATCACAAGTTAAATAAGTTTTTAACCAAAAAAAAAAAAAAAAAAAAAAAAGAAAAAGGAGTAAAAAATTTAATTAAATAATCAAAAAAATACTTTGATCCTTCCTCTTAATAATAGCATAAAGATTTTGACGATAAAATTTTGTTTTCATTACATTTGGAGCATGTTTTCATCATAGTATGCTGAGTTTTTAATATTTTCGTGGAGGTACCTATTTGTAAATATGTATGTATAAAGAATGGATTTATTTTTAAAATCAACATTATATACTTAGGAAAGTGTTTAATAAATAAAATTGAGACAGCTATTTAAAATACAGAGTATCCACAATAACGTTTTTATATATATATATATATATATATATATATAAACATTATTGTGGATACTCTGTGTGTGTGTGTGTGTGTAAAGTATTTTCCGATAGAGTATATCTGTAAGGGAACAAAATGAATAAAGACAAAAGGAAAAACTCTTCTTAGATGATACATTTCATCTTCTAAGGGATTTTATCAAGGCAAATGTAGGATTGACTCATTTATTACTACTTTCCCAAGCCAATATACACAACCACAAATATATTAAAAAAATCTAAAGAAAATGGTTAAATCCATTACCTCATGTTTTTTTGAAGATGTACAACACATACATCCATTCCAAACCATCACAATTTAAACAATATTCATTTATTAAAAAAAATTTTTTTTTGAATATTACTCGCTTCCTTTTACTTTACCAGACTTTGAACTATGATACTGTGTCCCCCACATGTTTCGACTAACCTTTTAATCACCTGATGAATATTCATGAACATTCTCAAATTTAAAAGCCTTGATGAACCAATGACATCTTTTGCTTTTGTATATAAACACGTGCAACAAAATAAATCCTACATTTGATTTGATAAATTAGAGGATGAAACACATCCACTAAAAATATTTTTCATCTTGTCTTTTTATTTACATACACACACACACACATATATATATATATATATATATATATATATATATATATATATGGGAAAATGATATATAAATTTTTATATATCAGAGCAATTTTAGGAAAATCTATGAAAAGTGATGAGAATAAAAAGAATAAGAAATTAAATGAAATCAGCTATATACCCAAACACACACACACATTAATTTAAAATCTCAGCATCCCCTCTCCTTCATGCTGATGTGTAATTACATCAACATCATTTTAGTCAAATGAAGTCCAAAAGGACAAAACATATCACAATAATTTTTTCCCCTTTTTTTTTTTTTTTTTTTACAATGATGGTCACCCTGCACAAGGCCCAAGAGACTCCCTACAGGCAGTGTGCTACAGAGTAAGAGGCACCTCCCCATGCAAGGAGATAATGCCACCAAGTCACAAGAGGCTATCATAGGTGAAAGAAAAAAAAAAAGACTTTGAAAGGAACCAGAAAACCAATCCTGAACAGAAAACAAGGGATAAACCTCTACTCCTGTTCAAATGACCTGGAACGGGTGAGAACCGGATGATAGGTAAACCTCCACTTTTTAGCTGGGAAAAAATACCATGATAAAAATGGCCCCAAACTTAATAAAAACAAAGTTTTATTGTCAAAATGTTTGTTATTATTAAGAGGTAAAACCAAATATTTTTCTATTATTTTATTAAATTTTTTAAATCCTTTCTAGCACATTCAAAATTTTGTTTAAAAATCTTGGGGTTTTTTTTGTGCAAGCGTTCAACATAATATTTATGATTAGTATTTTCAAACTTTTTTTTTTTTAAAGTGATTTGGAAATTCTTGCAAAAATCATAATTCTCAAATTTTTAATTTTTTTTTTTTGTAAAATCTTTGTAAAACTGCAATAAAACTATGACATTATTTAATTAGAAAAGTGTTTAATTGCTTTTATAAATAAAATGTATTATAGACACTATTGCCATAATGAAAAAAAATTTTTTTTGATGTATAGTGAATTTTTACAAGAATTATTTTCATTTTTTTAAAATTTTAATTATAATTATTTTAAATTCTGCATTACTTCCATCTGGTTAGGTGATATTGTTATTAAGTGAAAGCTTTATTTACGAAGCAAAAATTGAAAACAAATCATTTTGCATCAAAATTTTTAAAATAATCTTTTATCTTTTTTAATTATTTAAGATATTATGTAACATACCCATTTTTTAAATTATGGCCAAACATACACAACATTATCAGAAAATAAGAGCGATGACTATCGTAAATATAACATCAAAATTCCTAAAATTAGATTACAGAGAATATTATCCAACATTTTTAAGGTTACTGAGTATTTCAAAATTATATAAAAAAGGGGCACACACATCATTTTCTTAAATTATGTTTTAACAGATAGAGTTTTGATAGAACAACAATAAAACTCAACACTTTTATCAGTACTTGTTACGTGATTGACAAGCTACTGTTTTAAAAATCCATTTCTCCATTATTTTAAACTTAAAATAATATGTTTCAAATCAGATTAATTATACTTTAAATCAGCTAATATTCCTCAAATAAAGTTTCAGATAAGTATATTTTATTTTTGGAAGAGTTTTCAATAAAGAGAATTACACTGTAATGAAAGATGACTAAAAAATGGGCACTAATC